CATACTAACTCCATACAGATTTAACATCATGCGACATTGCTGATGTGGCATTGTTGACTTACTAACTTACTTACGCCTGTTACACCCAATGGAGCATAGGCCGCCAACCAGTTTTCTTCGACCAACTCTGTCCTGGGATTCCCTCTCCAGTTCTGTCCAATGTTTGTTCATTCCTCTCATATCTTTCTCTATTTCTCGGCGTAATGTGTTCCTTGGCCTTCCTATTTTCCTTTTGCCTTGAGGGTCCAATGTGAGGGCTTGTCTCGTGACGCAGTTCGGTGCTTTTCGTAGTGTGTGTCCTATCCACTTCCACCGCTTCTTCCTGATTTCCTCATCCACTGGAATCATGTTTGTTTTCTCCCAAAGTTCGTTGTTGCTGATGGTGTCTGGCCAACGAATCCGAAGTATTTTACGAAGACAACTGTTCATAAACACTTGTATCTTATGGATGATGACTTTCGTAGTTCTCCAAGTTTCCGCTCCATACAGTAGAACTGTCTTCACATTTGTATTGAAAGTCCTGATTTTGGTTTTGGTCGACAGTTGTTTGGAGTTCCAGATATTTTTCAATTGTAGAACGTCCTCCAAGGCATCTCCATCAAGAGTGATTTGGTTGGTGCATGTTGTGTTGCATCGGAGAATTTTGCTTTTTCCTTTATGTATGTTGAGAGTTACTGCTGCAGAGGCTGCTGCTACACTGGTCGTCTTCTCTTGTATTTGTTGTTGCGTTTTTTTGGCAAGTTAGTTTTTGATGGAATGGGGCCGCCAACCCCATGTCCAATCCTCCTCCTTTACCCGGGCTTGGGACCGGCAGTAGCCCCGAAGGTTCTACTGGCAGAGTTTGGCATTGTTGAGAACTCATAAAAATATTTTCATTAGTATTCCTTAGTTTTCAGGGATTTTCCAAACGGTATAAACTTACAATCAAAAATTATATATTCTTTTTCTCAGCACAGGTAATTAATTGCATTACGGGGTTGTAAAGATTGTTAAGTTACACATTTTTTGAAACCATGAATCGATCGATGTTAGACAACCATTAGAAGAAACCTGGAAGCACTGAAAGACGACCGTTTCGTCCTTGTATGGGATTAATCATCAGTGGCAGTGCGCATCCATTTAACTTAACAATCTTCACAATTCCGTAATGCAATTATTACCTGTGCCTACTGGTGACTAGCTCCGTGAGCAATCTTCTCCGAGTTCTAGTGAGTGGGAAGTACGTGACCAGAGAAGTTCAACCTGTTCGTGTGTAGATAGTAACTACCAAAGACAGTGTGTATGAGGTTGCGCAAGACCGTGAATTGATCAAGTTAGACATTAGCAGCGTTAGATACCGGCTCAGTGGTCCAGAAGTTAGGCGTTCGCGCACAAGGCCGAAGGTCCTAGGTTCGGATCCTGCGGGGTACAGGAGACGCTGATGTGCACTGCCACTGATAAGTCTCATACCAGTGCTTCCTAGGTTTCTTCTAATGGAGTGGTCTAACATTGATCGATTCACGGTTTCAAAAAATTGTGTAACTTAACAATCTTCACAATCCCGTAACAAAACAATAAGACTGGACAATGTTATATTATCATCATGGCAGAGTCATTAGATTGAAGAAAACTATCTTTCTAGTTTTTAAAATATTAATTACAGCCAGAGTTATACATTGTTTATTTGATTGATAAACATTCCTGAAAATGATAACATTGTCTGTTTTAAGAAAGTTCACATTTTTCTATGATTCTCAATGTTCAATAAAATCAGTTATCAGCCTCAATTGAATGAAAACCACACACTATTAACATATAATGTCACATTGATCTTGCACAAAATTTAAATTAAATTTGTATGTCATTATTTACAACGAAGTAAAAATTTGGCAATAATCAGTTCTGCGGCAGAGTTTTGGAGGACCTTCGGTATTGTGTAAAAAACTCTGCCCCGAAATATAGTAACAGTGTTCACTAGTGACTGGCTTCGTGAGGAAATTCTCGCAGTTCTAGTGAGAGAAGACGTGACGAATGGAGTCCAACCCTATCTGGTGTAGGCAGTAACAACCAAAGACAAATGGGTGAGGTCGCGCAAAATCCCTAAATCAATCAGAGTTAGACATTAACACCGTTGGATGCCTGCCCAGTGGTCCGATGGTTAGGCGTTCGCGCACCATACCGAAGGTCCCGGGTTCGAACCCTGCGAGGTGCAGGAGTCGTGGATGCGCATTGCCAATGATGAATAGTCCCATAACAGGAAAAAACGGCCGTCTTTCAGTGCTTCCAGGTTTCTGATGGAGTAGTCTAACAATGATTGATTGACGATTTCAAATGTGTAATAAAACTAAACATTGACCTTAATTAGATTAACTCAACTCAGAACTCAAGATCAACTCTACATACTTCACCTTAATCATTTTTGAATTAGTGTTCATGTAAACTTGTGACGAAAACTCTATGGAGTGATAATTCTAACACATTACACTAGACTGATGCTCATTATGTAAGGTAAACTGTTTTTATTTTACTAACAGTTTACGAACTTCTCATAAGAAAGGCAGCGGTTGTCCATTCGGCTCTGCGGTCACGCTCCCACGCCACTAAGACCAACACTAATCCAACTTCTCTTTCCAGTTCCTCAAGAAACATCCTTCCACCATGTGGGCAACCGGGAAGTGACATCCGCCCTCATATTCGTAACAGCGCATGAGACCAAATTGGTCACAACCAAATCCTTCCTACACCCCCCTGATATCTCCCTTATCTCCAAGACTAACTGACTTTCGTCCAACCTACTCCTACACCACAAAACATAGCTCGACGAGGCAGTCGGTGGTTAGCCATACGTAACAAATGCCCCAACCACCTCAACTGATGAAGTTTCAATACTTCATCTATTGATCTGTCATCCTTACATAGCGACCGTTTCCTAACATCAGCATTGCTCACTCGACAGTCCCAGGATATACGAGCAATCCTTTGGAGACACCTATGATTAAAAAAAAGCAACCTACGAATATGACTGGCTGTGTTCGAGTACAGCGCTTATATAAGGTTAATGTACTTTGGTAGATCTTTCAATGACAGACACTGCCATAGAACCTCACGATCCACTGAGTCAAATGCCGCCCTAAGGTCCAGGAACACAACTATTTTAGGACGCTTAAATGTGTGTCTTCGTTCCAGGACCTGTCGTAGAGTGAAGATGTAGTCTATAAATCCACGACTGAGACTAGTCGGATGGTATTACGTCCAGTTCCCAGTATCAACCTAAAACCTTAGTCAATCTAGCTGCTAAAACTGGATCAACATCCTTGAAAATCTCAGGGGTCAATCCCTCGCTTCAGATTTGCTAACGCTTCCTCAACTTCATAAGGAGTAGGAAGACTCATGTCGATTTTCTATTCAGAATGACTGGAGATCGTGGGCAGCCGAAATGTGGCTGAGGGTAAATTGAACTGATCCCTAGTGTTCTGTTCATTGATCCAATCTCCTGGATTGAGTATGAACAGTCTCTCTCACATTCAGGTTCCTAATACCGGTTTCCTTGGTGAGTCTGAATACTTGCCTACTGTTGCTGCCTTTTTCATCTCTGAACTGCAGTCAGTGGGAGCGCAGGCAGATACGACGAACAGGTAACGGCGAGTTTCCCTATCCCTCCGAGTATGTACGGTTCCTTTTAGTCGGATAGCGGATAAGCAACTATCTACTGGGATCCAGTCTAAGAGAGCTTGTTCAGCCCTAGGACTTAATACTATACCTACGTCAGCGAGGCCATAGGAGGCAGCATCATGGCTACCTGAAACACAAAGTGTAAACCGTGTTGTGTCTCTATCTGCACTAAGTGAAATCAAATTGATGATTTTACTCGGATCTTGTATGCGCGTTTCGTAGACACAGCATACATCGATCGTACGGGATTTCAGACTTCTAGCTGATGAAGCCTGTTGTCCTATTTGGCACAACGTTCGAACATTAAATGATCCAATATATAATTTCATGTTTCCTGAGCTCAAACTGTTTGCTTCAGCGAAGTGACAAACAATCAAAGAAACAGTTGGTTGAGGAAATAAGACCATTATTAGGAAGGGTAGAAAGGATCTGATTGTGGCTAACTCGAACACATGTGCTTTTATGGGTATGAGGGCGGATGTTACTTCTCCCGTCTTCCCACACACCATGGAAAGGTTCTGGTTGTCAGAAGAGAGCATCAGCCTCACGACTTCCGAAGGAACTCGGCTTTCTAACTCCCACAGCAGAGATTATATAGTTTGAATTATTTTTTGCTTGTTAGCGTTTCTTCAGCAAGTTAGGCTTTTTTTTCCTGGATGGGGTCGCGAACACCAATCCTTAACCTCCTCCCTTTATCCGGGGCTTGGGACCGACAGTATCCCCCCGAAAGGGTCCACAGGCGGAACTTACAGACTATTTCAGATATTTACAATCAAAAAAACATGAAAAAAAAAAATTAATTCACTGGAAGGCAACACATTATATTTTAACATATTTTCACATACATATATATATCACCATAATTTTCTTAATTCAAAATATTTTCAATTTTGAAAACAAAAAAACAGAAAACAAACATGAAAAGTGAAAGAAAAAAATTTAAATCAGATAGAATATAGATTCTTTAAAGAAAAAACAACCGTAATGAATGAGTGAATGAGTGGATGAATGAATGGCGAGAAATTTATGATGATGATGACGATGATGAAGGATGCAAAGAAAAAGTTGACTAATCCCAGTAAGTGGGATGAATGTATTAATAGATTCTCTCTCTATCTCTCTCTTTAAAGATACAAATATTTAACTGATGAATTTTAAAAAAAATCAACAACAGGTAGATCGTCCGTCTACAGTTGAATGGAATATTATATATGTATATGTGTATACGAATTAAATTTACAAAATTATTTGTTTAAATCGTTTTTTATAGGGAAATAATACATAAATTTTATCACAGACATATATTATTTTTATTATGAGTAGTAGTATATGTTGAGACTATCGTCATATCATCCATCATACTCAAACAAGATCTTTAGGTGTGTTTGCAAAAAAAAAACAAAGGATAAAAAAGAAAATCAACTGTAAAATAAGAAAGAAAATAAAAAAAAAATAAAATATTAAATTTGGCTAATCAAAATAATAATTCACAAATAACAACAACAACAACATGTAGTTTAGAACGGGGTTTCAAGAGACCAGGAACGACGTTTCGTGATCTCGATTCGTCTGCATTAGCGGTGCAGTGAGAAAAGGGAGTGTGAGTAGAGTTAGTCGTAGCGATACGGAGAGACATTAGGGGGTGTAGGAAGGATTTGATTTTGACCAATTTGGTCTCGCGTGCTGTTATCGGTATGAGGGCGGTTGTCACTTCACGGCTGCCCACACCGTGGAAGGTTGTTTCTTGAGGGACCTGAAAAGGAAGATGGATTAGTGTTGGTGCGTGACCGCAGAGCCCAAGGGACAACTGCTTGAGGCCGGTCACGCACGGCCTTTATATGAAAGGTATTTAGAGGATTAGCTCCGTTCTTAAAGGCCCTTAGTGGGCACCCTAACCCAAGGAGACGGAAATCCGTGAGGTAGGATGAGGTGTGACATTTTTAGGGTCGACCTTTTCTAACCCTTCCTTCCTTGTGAGAAGGCACCATCGCTACAGATGCTGGTTGTCCGAGGGAAACACCTTACTGCTGTCACAACCCTCTGCAGTCAGCAGTACAACTTCGCCCTCAGACCTAGAGTAGCTGCTTTTAGTCTCATCGTTCTCCAATCGACCTGCCTGGCATGGTAGGGCCTGCAGGAACATATGTTCCAGCCAGTACAGCTCGGTTGGGTCATCACGATAGGCAAGCCCGACCACCACGTCAAGGTAGCAGCTACGGTCGGGCATATGGCCAAGTGTATATTAGTCATTGCTAGGGAAAGTTTCAACTACTTACTACCTGAACTAGTGATAGGGAGTGGTGAAGCAGTCGAACGTGTTGATCGCTTCACTTATCTGGGGAGTCTCATCATCAGCGCTGATAGCCTGATGACTGATGAAATCTCAGCACGGATACATAAAGCTCGATTGGCTTTTGCCAACCTGCGTCACTTATGGAGTAGGCGTGATATCCGTTCGCTAACCAAAGGACGGGTGTACTGCGCAGCAGTTCGCTCCGTTCTCCTTTATGGATGCGAGACTTGGCCGTTAAGAGTAGAGGACTTCCGTAGGTTACTAGTCTTCGATCATCGATGTCTCCGAAGCATTGCTCGTGTATCATGGGATAACCGTATAAGCAATGCTGTTGTTAGGAAACGAGTTCTGCCACAATAGGTGATGTATTGAAACTTCATCAGTTGAGGTGATTGGGACATGTGTTACGTATGGCTAACCACCGACTGCCGCGACGAGCTATGTTTGGCACTGTAGGAGTAGATTGGAAGAAAACTAGGGGCGGCCAAACCAAAACATGGCACAAATGCATGAAGTCACTGACAAGTCGACTGAGTCATGTGACTGCTTCAAGCCGGTCACGCACGGCCATTTTACGAGTAGTATTTAAAGTGTTAGCTCCGTTCTTGTTTAAAAGCCCTCACCGCCAGAGACGGAAATCCATGAAATAAGGTCAGGTGTGACATTTTTAGGGTCAACCTTTTCCAATTCTTCCTTCCTTGTGAGAAGGCAGAATCGCTGCAGATGCTGGTTGTCCGAGGGAAACACCTTACTACCGTCACACCCCTCTGCATTCAGTAGTACGACTTCACCCTCTGACCATGAGTAGCTGTTTTTAGTCTCATCGTTCTCCAATCAACCTGCCTGGCATGGTAGAATCTACAGGAACATATGTTCCAGACAATATAGCTCGACTTGGTCATCACGATAGGGAGGCATGACCACCACGTCAAGGTAACAGCTACGGTCGGGAAGATGGAGTTAGAGAAAATAAGATAAGACTCATTGTATTGTGCCTCCCTACGGAAATCTTTAGTAAACGGTGAAAGATTTATTCACAAATGAGGAGACACCAGACGTATTTACTACGCCTTAGTTAACACAGACACATTCAATTCAATTCTATAGACTGTTATGAACTTACTTGTGATATAATAATGAATAAACACTAAGAGCGACAACACAATTTAGATGACTTTGTACTGCTGACAGATTCATTTGATCCAGGAAGAGTTAACTGAGCAGGACCAATTCCAACTGGATAGGACATTTGACTTGGATTAGAACCATTCTGAATTTGTTCTAGAACACTTCGTACAGCAGCGGTAAATGCTTCCAAAACATTTGAACCATTTTTAGCTGATGTTTCCAAGAATTTATAAGCTCCATTGTCAATAGCACATTGTTTTCCTTCTGATTCAGTGACCTAATTGGTATAATGAACCACAATTATAAGGCTATTTATTGAAAAGATAATGTAATGTGAAAAATTGTAATATCAGTCAGTCAGATGCAAAGTAGAACTTCGTACGTAAGTACATCAGTTCATGTCGCCATACCACATCAGCACAGAGGTGTAATTGTCAATTCAAATCCAATAGTAGAAGAGGTAGTAAAGGTATTAGGAGTAATCGGAGGGGTTAGGATTACAAGATATTATTCAAAAACTGTGGTTCAGTAAGATAAGTTTAGAAAGACTAAACTAGAGGTGTTGAAGAATTCAGAAGATTAGGATTTGAGAGAACACAAAGCATAAATGCACTGGCGCCATTGCGAACGATTTTGAGCCATGTCATTCAGAGTCTCTAACCATCGATTATTATCATTTCGCGGAACCCAACCAGATAGTCGACAACTACAGACATGACTAAGTCCACTCGTCAATGACTTCATGGATTTCTGCCATGTTTTGATTTGGCCGCCCCTAACTTTCTTCCAACCTATTCCTACACTACAAAACAAAGCTCGACGAGGAAGTCGGTGGTTGGGCATACGCAACACATGTCCCAACCGCCTCAACTGATGAAGTGTCACTACTGCGTCTATTAATCTGCCATTCTTACCTAGCACCCGATTCCTAATAACAGCGTTGCTCACTCGGGTTTCCCACGATATACGAGCAATGCTTCGGAGACACCTATGATTGAAAACCAGTAACCTAAGAGTATCTTCTACTCTTAACGGTCAGCGTCTTCACCAAGTAGGACAATGTCATCGGCATATTCTAAGTCAATAAGCGAGCCACCTGGTAAAAGGTCTATTCCTGAAAATTCAGACAACGATAAGGTTATTTCTAGGAGCATGTCTATGACAAAATTAAACAAGAATGGAGAAAGTGGACATCCCTGACGGACACCACTTGAAGTAGAGAATTCCGATGACAGTTCGCCATAAGCTCTCACTCGACCAGTGGTGTTCGAGTAGAGAGCTTGTATAAGGTTAATGTACTTCTTTGGTACACCTTTCAATGACAGACACTGCCATAGAACCTCACGATCCACAGAGTCAAATGCCGCTTTTAGGTCCAGGAAAACAACTATTGTCGGACGCCTAAATGTGTGTCTATGTTCCAGGACCTGTCGTAGTGTGAAGACGTGGTCTATACAGCCACATCCAGGTCTGAAACCAGACTGGTTTTCTCGAGTTTGCTCTTCACGAGCTTTCGTTAGGCGCCGAAGTATTGTTGAGGCCAATATTTTAGATACTATATTAGTTAGACTTATTCCCTTGTGATTGTTACAAGACTTTTGTCCTTTCTTATAGATTGTAATATATAGGTAGTTAAGGTTATATGACATATTTGCAAACATAAGACACTTGGTGATACGAGGCTTAAAGACTGGGCCTAGCAGTTAGGTCCTAATTGGTTGAACAATGAGTAACCCCAGTCGCCCATAGCATTTTATCATGCTCATTTTGTGTTCTTATTCCGTGCATAAACATGTTATTTTATTTAACAAAGAATCTCCTGCGACTAACAGCCTGGTCTTTGAAATTTGACCATCCAGTCAATAAAGGTCACATGAATAGCCATCACTCGGTCAGATGATATCATTGCATTGATTTACTGACAAGTATTCTACCCACTAATTGCGACGACTGAAAACTCATCTCATTAATTGTTAAAAATCTACCTCATGACACTGTATCATTTATTTACAAACCATTTATACATAAGAATGAGAGAAAACATCTAAGAATTTGAGGTACCACCAGTCCGCTAAATCTTTCATGTATGAAATGATAGTGAAACTTGTGGAGTCAGAGCTATAAGTCTCGAATTGTCAATAATTTACATGAGGATTTCATCATAAGACTGTTGGATGGTATAAGGATTTCAGCTGTGTTTTAGGAACCTACCAAAATGAAAACCATTTTAAATGTTAACCATTCAGTGATGCAAAGATAAATCGAAAGAAAACCAATGATATATTAAGCAAGTAGGAATGCCTATTAAGCACATTTATACTTTTGGCTGAAACACATCCCTTTAGTTTTTACCATGTCAGGCAGGTGGGTTGGAGAATGGTGAGACTACAGACAGCAACTTGCGGTCTGAAGGCAAAGTCATGCTGCTGATTGTAAAGAAGTGTGACAGCAGTACCGTGTTTCCTTTGGGAAACTAGCGTCTGAAGCGATGCTGTCTTTTCACAACGAAAAGAAAGGATTGGAAAAAGTTTACTCTAACACCGTCGCACTTCACCTTACCGCACGGATCTTCGTCCCCGGCGATAAGGCCAATTAAAGAACAGAGTTTAAAATTCAAAAACGTCCCACAGAAAGGCAGTGTGACAGGCCTGAAGCAGTTCTATGATCACGCTCCTCGGTCTCTAAAACCAACGCCAATATAACTTCCTTTTCAGGTTCCTTAAGAAACCCTTTCAAAGTGTGAGCAGCCCGGAAGTGACATCCAAGCTCACACCCCTAAAAGCACATGAGATAAATTGACTGACTGTTGGTTGTAAAAGGAAAGTGCTCAAAGTTTGAATGACCTGATCTTAATGAATGATAATCTTACGAAGATTTACAGCTTACATTGGGAATGAACTAGCATTTTTTAAACTTTACTACTTCACTGAGCATATACACAGAACCCGTGGTTTTCGTAAATATTTAACGAACATTTCTGTAGCAATATACTTACAACTTTGTTAAACATTTGATGATTGTGCCAAAAGCGAGATATTTAAAACAGTATTTCTAATTGGGAGTTTTGTGCAACGAGACAACTGAACACAGCTACTAAGTAGACCTCATTTGACTGAATGAAATTTGATTTAGGCTTCAGGCATACCATTTAGGGTTGCTGCTTGATAGTATAATTGGTTGTTCCACTTGAAGACAACTACTTCAATAAATAACTTAATGAACTGAAACGTTTCAATTCATTCAGAGTAAACCTGAACAGAAGAAACTACAAGTGTATACGCACGCCCCATCGGATCCGACATCATATAAATAAAAAGAACTCAGAATGGGTCACACCAACTTCTTTTGGTACCACGTGTATATACTTCCAGATTAACAAAGCTACATACTTTTCACTTACCTCGCGCAAATTCTCTCCCAAATCGATTTTGTTTCCTATCAGTATAATTGTTAGGTTCGGAAGAGCTAAGTCTCTGACAGAGGAAATCCACGTATTGATAGCGTTAAATGATTCTCTATCAGTGATGTCATAGACTACTAACGCACAAGCCGCACCCCGATAGTACGATCGAGTAATACACTGGAATCTTTCCTGACCTGGAAGAAATGATGCTCAGTAGATGACACTTACCAGCTGTGTCCCATATCTGTAACTTTACGGACTTCGAATCAACTTTAAGTATTTTTGTTCCAAACTCAACACCTATGGTGTGCAGTGAATCCTGTTTAAACTTTCCTTCCAAGAACCATCTCATTAAACATGTTTTACCAGCAGCTGCGTTTCCAATGATCAGAAACTTTAGCAGATAATCATATCTCTCCATAATCGTCAGTTCTAGCCATTCGTCAAGGTCGTTAGGACTACGTATCACTCAATGTCCAATATCTGATTTTTTCACGAGCTAGTTTATACTAAATGATTTTTTCGTGCTCGCCCCTCGAACTTTCAGTACAGTTACAGACACTTTTAATGTCCATTGGATGATTGTTTAGCCGGACGACTGCACCATCCCTAGTCGGTTAGTTGTTCTCTATGAAGATTGTGCTAGAGGACAGAAGTGTGATAAAAGAAGAGGAAACAGATAAAACCAGTAGTATAAAGTGACCTTGTGCTCTGACGGATGACAACCATAACAACCGGAAAGTTTCCAGATGTACATCAGGCATAGCCATTTCAAGCGAGAGTATGTGTTTGTCAAGTATCGTATTAAAGCTTTCCACTAAAGGGGCTGTGGTCAATTCAACTGGGAGGGCATTCCAAATTAGGACAACTCCTTATGAGAAAAATTGTTCACGAACCTAGGCATTTGCTCATAGGCGTGAAATGTTTTGAAAGTTACTTTTGGTGGCGTGGTGATTATATTTTGGAAAGATGCTTATGTCCGAAGGATTCGGCAGACTTAATATTTTGTACAGCATTATCAGATCGCCTCTCATTCTAGTGTAACTCGGAATAATTTCAAGTATAAGCAGTGGACGTCCTTTGGGAATGTCATTTGTTTACGCCATATGGGACAAAATATTCATGACTTGGTACTTCGACTTGTTCTCAAGATATTTTATGATTTAAAATAGACGTGTATCAGTGAAGCCCACCTTCAAAACCTTCGTAATAGGTAGTATATGGCGTATTGTGTAGATAGCTTTCTCAAAGTCAAAGAATATATTATGAATCTGCATTCTTTGGTCCCAGAAATTTATCCGGCCGTCCCATGCTGTGAGATGATTGGATCAACACAGCCTGCCTTTTTTAAACTCACGCTGTGCTTCAAGTTGGACTTTTTTATCCATGTACTTCCTCGTTTGCTCATTCCGCAGTAACTCCATCAACTTCACTAGTGTTGCTAGTAACGTGACTGGTCTGTGGCAGGCTAGATCACATCTGTTTTCTCCTGTAAAGGTCGGAGAATTTGGTATTAATGATCTCATCCAAATGTAATTTATAAGATATTCGCCATTTGAACGTTTGCGAGTTCATACGTGTTGAAGTAGAACCAGCATGATTATGTCGCATCAGTGGGTTGGGTGTTGTGTGATGTTACAACTTTGAAGAAGCTGTTATTATATATGGCTACACCGACTCCTGTCTTGTGTACCCTATCGCATCGGAGAAGTGTTATGACTTGCTAACTCAGTTGGTGATGATGAACTTTAGATTAATATAGAGGTTTATGTTACCATTGATTAACTTAGTGAAGTGGAAAGGGTTATCGCGCATGCTAAATCAACAGAAAATAATGTTATTTCTGACATTAAATAAAGCAATGATTCAGGACTATGATGTACATTTTGACACATACAATTAAAGTGTGAAATCAAAACCAAACTATCTCTTCAAAGTTTCAGTCGAATGTTAAAATGTACGTGAAAAATAATATATCAATATATATTAATTAATTAACTTAAATGTACGGAGCCTTGTAAATGATAATTACCACAAACTTGTCGTCCAAATAAGAGATTTTAGGATTGAAACCTGTATGTTAAGTTTTAACAAGCAATATTTTTTAAATTTCACAATATAGTCCACAATGATTTAGAAGGATAGAAATAGTTGACACAAAATGCTTACTGACCTAGATTTCGTGATAGTTGATACTCGTCTGCAAAGCATACACTATCACAGGATATTTAATAATAATAAAAATTTCTTATTTCAAATATTTCATGTAATTTTTCATTGAGCAGTTGTGGAGGTCATTGTCTTAAATTAACTCGGGAGACGGTCATTGTGAGACCATCATTAGAAACATGTAAGCAGTAGACAGCTCTTTCATCCTAGTATGGGACTCTTCAGCAGTGTTCATCTACCATATCGCTTATGTGAATCTGTTTGGCGTGTGAACGCTTAACCTGTAGACCGCTGAGATGATATCTCACGTTGTAATTATTTAACTTTGATCAATATAAGGATTTTACACATCACTCACTGTCTTTGAAAGTTAGGGCCTACACCCAAAAAGGTGAGCAGCAATGGAACTCCAAGAACTTCCTCACAAAGCTGGTTATCAGTGACTTTTCATCATAATTATGAATATGGTTGTTTAACATCAAAATCGTAAAAATGATCAGTAATAGAACACCATTAAAAATCTGAAACCACTGGTCAGATGTTGCGTTAAATCTCGAAATTAATCAAAGTTAGTCACTGACATTATTCAATGCAGGCTCAGTAGTTTAGAGTTTAAGCGTTCGCGCACCAGACCGTAGGCCATGGGTTTAATTACCGCGAGCTGGTGTAGTGGATGTGCACTGCTGTGAAACCCCATACTAGGACGAAGCAGCTGTCCAGTGCTTCCAGCTTTCTAGTGATAGTCTGTGGTAGTTGGGATGGTTGCCAGGTAAAAACTCACAAACGAAGTAGAATCACGAAAAAGCTAATCATAGAATAACGATATTTATTGATTGGAAGTCGCATGATATCAAAATAATATCACGTGTTCACTCAGATAAGGAGATAACAAGAAATGATCAATGAAGCCACAGGGTTGGAGAGGTTGGCGCTTGAATTATGTAGGACTTTAAGTACAGATAAATAAAAGATGTACAATAAAACAGTTATTGTTACACATGTTCAATAATAAGTATTTTTATGTCTCAGCAATTATGTTTCCTTCATAAAATAGTTCCACTACAGGAGCCCCCCTCCTAGAAAGGGTTCACACTTTCGATACGCAGCGGCTGCGTTCGGGGGACTTGTCGGGCAAAGTTCGGTTTTAGGGCGGAAGGGTTGACGAACAGGAAGCCACCAATGAAGTTTGAATTATCACCGAGAGTTTTTCCGCTACCGTGCCAAAAATTACGTACCAAGTTCGTCTATCGGGTTGGCATGCCACAACAGCGTGGCTCGTATCCAGAGTCTGAAGATGGCGTTCGTAGGCGTTCGGACCAGATTAAGCTGCAGACGTAGGACGGAACCAAATTGAGCGAAAGAACCAGAAACGACCAGTGAGAAACCATTCGTAACCGGAAAATCGACTGAGTGCATTGACAAGAGCGTTGGTGATCAGGCCAGCTTTCGCCAAGTTGACTGAAGTCGATGGTACCAACAGGGCAATGGTCGGAGGTATAGGCTCGGAATAAAAAAATCAAAGAAAAGGAGGAAGGTGTAGAATGTATGTAGTATGGTTGTAAAATCCTATGCCGCACCCATGGTTGATTGGTAGTTAGTCGAGGAAGCGTACAGGTAGCCTTACGCGGCAACCGGAAGGCAAGACAGTAGCCTCGTGCGTACCTCTTGGGCCTGCATTCTCATCCGCAGTCAAGTGCGGCGTGGTCTGCTGATCCGGACGTGAGACCGGAGTCTCATCCGTAGATAGTGCAGATGATGCGTGCTGCTGACTGAGACGTGAGAATGTGGTCTCTGATTTCGCTAGCGTGGGATCCACAGTAGCTTTAAGGATCCCGCTAGGCCTAGCATTGGGTTTCGGATTAGCAAGTAGGGCACTGTCATCGACATGTGCTAGCTTGAGAAGATCAATGCTGACTATCTCGACGCGGTCATGTCGAGCAACCTTGATGGTCTTTTCATGACGAGAAATCATGTTAAAAGGTCCTTCGTAAGGTTGTAGCAGAGGTTTGCGTACCGAATCGACTCGAATGAAAACGCGTGAGCAGGTATATAATTCTCGAGGGAGAGCGACCTGTCGATGTTGTACTCGAGTTGACACCGTAGGCAGTGCTCGCATAAATGCAGACAGTCGTTGGACGTAGTCTGATTTATTGAAGTTATCATTGATCCGTGGTGTGAAAAATTCCCCAGGCAGACGCACTGTCGTGCCGTATACCAATTCAGCGGCGGAACATTAAATATCTGCCTTTAAGCTCGTTCTGGTGCCTAAAAGGACGAGTGGTAACGTTTCGTACCAATTGTTGTTTTCGTGTGCTCGAAGAGCGTTTTTGAGTTGGCGATGAAACCTTTCGACTACACCATTTGAAGCTGGGTGGCAGGCGGTAGTGCGTATGCGCTCCATACCAAGCAGCAGAGTTAGCGAGGAGAATAGTTCGGACTCGAATTGTTGTCCTCGGTCAGTTGTGACAGTCGAGGGACAACCGTATAGAGCTATCCATCGTTCTACGAAGCGGTGAGCAACTGTTTCCGCCGCAGTAGAAGTGGTGGGAATAACTTCGGGCCATCTTGTAAAACCATCGATCCACGTGAGTATGTGATCATACCCATGCGATGGTGGCAATGGTCCTACAATGTCCATATGAACGTGATCGAAGCGAGCATCAGGCGTAGCAAATGTGCCGATGCGGACGGCTACGTGCCTGTGCACTTTTGATCGTTGACATTTTAAGCATTGTTTTACCCACATACGGACATCTTTGTTCATGGAAGGCCAGACGTATCGTGCAGCGATGAGACGTAATGTGGCTGCGATACCTGGATGAGGCATCGAAGACAATACGACGATTAGCAGAGGGTAAGACGG